AACTCTAAAAAGACACACATATACTCTACAAGAAATAAGTCAGACTTGACCTGTAATACTCCAAACTTCTCATTTATTCAAAAAAACGTACCGCATACTCTAATAACAATTTACAACAAACTCCCTCTTACAGTGAGGGAATTCGATAAAACAACATTAAAAATAAAATTAAAAGCATTTTTACTTGAAAAAGCATACTATGCAACTGACGAGTATTTAAATTATACTATTATTATTTGATCTATTTGACTGCTTTTACTACAATCATGTACTCGTAAGAGCCTATATCTACATGTATTAATATTTTTATATGTATGCATATATTTTTGTGCAGTTTATGTACTGTACATCTTTCCTTCCTCTTTTAACCTAATATTATTGTGATATATGTTTATATTTATACTGACATGTTCTATGCCCTTAGGGATACTGTATTTTTATCATGAACAAATAAATTTTATCTATCTATCTATAACTAGACTTATTTCTCCGAGATACGACTCGAATACACTCGAATGACCTATAAATAATCGACGAGATACGACGATACACTCGAATGGCCTATAAATAGTCATATCTCGGAGGAATAAGTCCAGTTATCAACCGAAGATGATTGTGGATCTAACAATCGAAACGTCGTGACATAACTTGGTTTGGAATTTTTTAATTTTTTTCATTTTTTGTTTATAATCAGTGCACGTTTGCCAACGTAACACAAGTCGATAAATTCCGTCAGCATAAAAATTGGGATTCGGGATTCGATGGAGTCAACGAAGGCCGTTTTTGCCCGGTCCTGATTAGCGAAGCTTCTACCGGCGAGAATGTTATCGAAGTGCTTAGAAAAATGGTAATCGTTTGGCGAGAGGTCTGGGGAGTATGGTGGGCCAGGTAGAACTTCGACATTCAATTCATTTATTTTTAGGACCCTGATTTATGAAACGTGCGATCGGTCGTTGTTGTGGAGCAGGATCGGACTTCTTCTGTTGACCTCTGCCGGCTGCTGAATTATTGGTACATTTCGGTTTCCTCACAATAGGACTTGGGAAGTGCTTATCCGTTTCCAACCACTGTTATGAATGTCCCCTGTTGTAGAGGATTCACTATTCATCATACATGACATTCCTATCCAAAGAAGAATCATTCTGGTTGCGCAAAACCAAAGAAGAACTGACCTTTAAACGTGACAATTTCTGTTGTTCATTCAAATTGTGGTGCGCCCACTTTTCGCGCTTTCTGACCTTTTGAATACGTTTTAAACCATCAAAAACCGCATAAGAGCTGACGCCCAGTACTTCCGCCATACTATGCACCGTTTCTGATGGGTCAGTCTCCACCAGGGTCCTCGTCCTGGATTACTGAAATCTCCGGAACGAAATTTCGCAAACCAACTCGAACAGTGCGTTCATTAAAATTATCATTGCCGAATGCCTGGTTAATTTTTCGTGCTATTTCGGTAGCACTATGGTACCATTGGAATTCGTAGAGAAAAATTGGCTGAAAATCGCTTAACATATAGTTATAAGTTGAAGACAGGCAAAAAATTAAAATTTGGGAAGAAATGAACAGCATTAATGTATAGAGTACAAAATTCTCTATCAATCAGTATATACTACGACACAGTAGA